TTCTCTGCTGTCAATAAAGAAGCAAGCATTTTTACCACATTTGACTACTTCCTGTAATCCTGCTAATACACCTTGGAGTTCAGCCTGCGTTGAAGAGACAGTCAGTTGAGCGGCGTCCAATAACAGTATCTACAGTGCCGATCGATGTCGGTGTACTTCCTGATCAAGACTCCACATGCGTGATCTCCTGCCTTCCCATCCCTAGCTACTGACCCATCACAATATACATGTAGAGTGTTTTCTGTAGGTAATTTTCTAATTATACAATCATATGTTACCCTCAGCTCTCCTATTTCATACATACTTTTTTCTTTTGCAAGGGAATAATTACTACATGTACATTACAATCCTCCCATGGTGGTGTGAATTGTCTCTTAGGCAGAGCAATACACTCTGTAATAACATCATACTTTATAGCATTAGAACATAAGGTACTCATATATGCTCTCTTCTTTATCATACATTGTTCATTACTTCCCACCTTTAGAACCAAGAGGATCAATTCATTAGCTCCCCCACCTCTCATTAATCTAATGGCAGAGGCAACATTTATCTCTGAAATTCTATCCCTAATACTCTTCAGATTCAACTCCATCCTCATTATCTCAATCATAGCATTTGTTGGGCGTCCTAAGATAATTCTCATGGCTTCATTTTGTACCTTCTCCAACCTGCCCATCCTACCTTTACCAAAACAAGAAATGACAGGTGCAGCATAATCAATAAGAGATCTTACAGTACTCAAGTATATCATTCGTAGCACAGGGACTCCCACTCCCTTTTCCACAGCATGCCAAGGCCTTCAGAGGTTGTAATCTGAGGCAGAGGCTGAGATGAACAACAGTCTGTTCCTCTCAGCTTCCAAACTCTCATGGGTATATCCAACATATATGCCCAAATATTTATATATATTAACTCTCTTTATTTTTACCGTTTATTTTCAATATAATGGGCCTCCGACTACTACATTCAAACTTGGTTTTGTCTTTATTAACCACCAGTCCCATATGGTGACACAGTTTTTCGAAATTATGAAATTATCCAACACCGTTTGAACCTTTGAAATATCTTTGCCCTGAAACAAAATATCATCGGCATATATGATCAGAGTCACCCCATTTGAGTATCTCTCAGATGCTATCTTATTCATTAGTACATTAAACAGGGTGGGACTCAACACTCCTCCCTGAGGTGTGCCAAGTTCAAAAGATCTCTCACCTGACATACAACCTTGATACCACACCTGAGCCTTCCTTTCGTAAAGATAATCCCCTATCCAGCACAATAATCTCCCTTAAACACCAAAACCAGCTAATTCATATAAGATAACCTCTTTGTTGGCTTCATCAAAGGCTCCTTGTAAATCAATAAAAATTCTAAAATAATCATTATCATTAGCTAGACATTTAATAATATAGTCAGAGGTACTTTTGCCTCTGAGGAACCCGAACAAATTACTAGACAGCTGATCACCTATTATATATAAAAGTCTATTTAAAATGATCCTCTCCATCATTTTACAAAAATCACGAGGCTAAGGACACAGGTCTATGCTCAACATTGGCTTTAGGGATAGGGATGATCATAGCTTTATTTTCCATTTTTTGGGAATACTGCCCTCTTTATAACTAATATTAAAAGAGGTCTAACAGTGGGCTTTTTGTCATAATGGCAAGTTCATTAAGTATTTCATAAGTTACCTCATCCTCCCCAGGGGCGGTAGATTTCCCAGCTTTAATCGAAAATTGAAACGGGAATTTCCTTAAGTACTTTCATATATTAATACATCTTCAGAAGGAGACAAGATGGTCTGACACTGTCGCATCTTGTCATGTGTATAATTTTCTTTTCTGGGGGGATGCTTTTTTATACTAGATATTTTCCGGTTCAATGTTGCATTAAATACATCTACCTCCGTAATTAGATCTTCATAAAATGCTTCTGCCGAAACTGGCTTATAAGTATCATACCAAGACTTAATATGACCAACAAGACCCCTTAATTCTCCCTCATTAAACTCTAACCTTTTCCTCTGAAGGCAGGCATGCTTTTTATCTAGCTGTATTTGTAATGCAAAATGATCACTTAGCATTTCACCCGCAGTAAGACAATTCCCCTCTATGTCCTCAGCATTTATCAAACAAGCATAATTAATCTCCCTCCCCTCAAATGAGTAGGAGAGGGCTCGCCCAGCAGTTGAACATCTTCATGTTCCTGCAAAAACTGGTACCATCTGCAACCATTCCTATTTGCTTTACCCCTTGATCCTAAAGCTGGATGTCTGGCATTAAAATCCCCTACCACAAGTGTATCTTCAGAAAAGAAGGAATCTGGCAAGTATCTTAAATGAAGGGAGCTATTAGAGATGTATAGATTAATGAAATTTAACTCTTTCTTGTAATTGTATCCACAAGCTAATACTTTCAATACCTCCATATCTCTGAGGGATTCCAGTTATCTCGGCAGGTATGATACTTTTGACATAACATGAGACCCCCTAGTTCCTCCATCAGCATATAAGTGAAAACCTGTATAGCCATTTAGCCTCAGAATGCTACCATCTCCAGTTTCCTGGAGTGCTACTATGTCAGTATTCTCTCTTAAGAGTATAATAGTGCACATTAACCGCTCTAGATTTTTAATCCATTAACATTCCAAGATAATGTTTTCAATCTACTTTCATCCATGATTAATTATAAAACTACCTTTGCCCTGTCCGTCACATTCCATGAGATACGAGAGTACCTTAGAGACTTCCTCACAACATCGTAACATTTTTTGCTTTCTCCTCGCTTGCACAACTACTACTAACATCGAAGGTAATATTATTCATATCTATTTTTTTTTATTTCTGTATACCATTTTACTTTAACCTTTGTTTCAACATTTGTCACTACAGATGGTTGAACACCGCTAACACTACTAGAAAGTGTATTTTCCTGACACTATCCTCTATCATCCATACGTCATGAGCTTCCTTACTTTCTTCTACGCACGTTTCACTTTTCATTTCACGTCCTGTTTCACTTTCAATTACATGTCCTGTTTCAGCACCATCTTCACCCTGTCTACCCTCCATAGCCAATTTTCCCAATGCCTCAATCCTCTTGTCTAGTTTTTTTAGATATTCCAAAATTTGATTACCAACCTCCGAGTTCACCATATTGTCCTGAACCTTGTCCTCACAAGGTTTCAGTTTTTCAACTGCATTACCTACTTTCCCTAGGCTCGCCTTAATTATCTCCGTTCCTTTCTCCCACACATTGATCATAGGGGCTGTCGTTGGTTTCCAGCTGTTTCCTCCATGTTCCTGCTGCACAATCTTTCCTTGCTGCGAGGATACATCTGTCCTGCTTGTAGGACCCGTCCTGGAGTCTCCCAGATGAGGCTTTCATGGGGCATACATAGGAACCAGCAGTGTGGCTGCCTCGACAATTGCAACAAAATGGGACGATTTTTTTTTTACTTTTTTTCAATCTTGACTACACTCTTGCGAGTCGTGTTTCTTGCCACAATACCGACACCTGGGGTCAAATTGGCATTTCCATGCCATATGTCCCCAACGAGAACATTTCATGCATAATATGGGCTCCTCAATATATTTTGCAACTTTCCTGTAGCCTCGTCCTTGCACAAAAATTCTTTCCGGAGCCTCACCAAGGCAACAACCTGGCTTTGTTTGTCACCACGAACACTGTTCCTCTTTGCCCAAACAACACTATCATTGTTAAGAAGAAGATAATCAGGATCCAAATAAGTTGGATACTTAAAAACTATGATCTTGGTGTGCATCATACCTTCTGGAGTAACCATCACAATATTCTCAAAACCCACCGTCGTTAGGTGTTCCACGGCCTTTTCTGTCCCAACTGTTATGTCGGGCCGGTGAAGACCCTCCTTGAATAGTGGTTCATATTCCAAACACTCCTTAGCCAGACGTACCGTCCACTCCAGCTTTTGATGGAAGTTCAGCTGTCATGTTGTAGGGAATAACAGCTACTTTCTTCGATTAATATGCGTATCTTGCGTCCTGCTGGTTAGGGTTTCCTGTTGACAATTCCTGGGAGTTTGCATCATTAGACTCTCCCATCGTGGATCACAGCAATTTTTCTGTCTCTTTTTCATTTCATCCTCACTCTCACCATCTCGCTGTCTGTGAAAAGCACGCCGTTTCTTTTTGGACATTGCAACTTGGTAAGGCCTGGCACCATCCAGCACTTGAAATTAATCCTCACTCTCACAATCGACAGTCCCAGTGCAGGATTGTCCATCACTGAAGCAGACCGCCACTGCCATTTCCCCTACACACAGATGTACAGTACAAATGTAGCAGTTGAGCATAATTTCACAATATCCAAGAGCGCTTACACTGCAACCGCGGACTAGTCACCGTTGTGGGGTTGCATCCTGGGAAGGGTCAGTAGTTTCTCCCTGGGGAAGAAGGGGGGGGAGACCTGGATATAAGCCTAACATGTACAGTGTAATTACCTAAGTGTAGTTACAGGATGAGAGCTACGCTCGTGGTGTCCCGTCTTCCCAGCACTTTTTGTCATATAACGCTTTGAAACTACTGACGGTCTTGGCCTTCACCACCTTCTCACCTAACTTGTTCCAACCGTCTACCTCTCTTTGCAAAAGTGAATGTTCTTATATTTCTTCGGCATCTGTGTTTAGCTAGTTTAAATGTATGACCTCTCGTTCTTAAAGTTCCAGGTCTTGGGAAATCTTCCCTATCGATTTTATCAATTCCTGTTATATATATATACAAAAAATGCCAGCAACTGAAGCATTATTTTCACATACTTATTTGGTCTTACTCCCTCCCGTCCCCTATTCATAGTTAAGATTTACGACGGTCCGAGACCCCTTGCTCTGTCGTGTTAATTGTATTTACTGTAGCTTCTTTTTTATTTGGGCTTTCACTTGTATTCACATCCATTAAGACAAAATGTGAGCAACTGAAGCCCCATTTTTATGTGTATATATATTTGATCTTACAGGCCCCTATTCATAGGCGAGATGGATGGCGATCTGGGACCCCTGACCCTGCCCCTGCCCCAACCTTCGACGGAGCTTCCAGACATAGCGCAGTTCCTCAGTATATACATGTCGGAGGAGGACAGCCTGGCACTACAGGAGGGGCGGCAGATGGCAACTCCGGCAGGCCAGGTGATGCAACACAGCGTCTTCGGTGCCGGCGAATCCGCACCGGCACCGTCGAGGGATTCGGATTTCAGCATCATGTCTTTAGTGTCGCATAACCCCAATAACACAATGGGTAAGATCATACAGGACTGTGACGCAAGTAGTAGTTGAAGTTATTACTGAAACCACGTTGGGTTCTGAAGTCTTAATGTAGGGCTCTATTACAGTATTTTTATTACTGAAGTCTTAATGTAGGGCTCTATTACAGTATTTTTTCTGAAGTCTTAATGTAGGGCTCTATTACAGTATTTTTTCTGAAGTCTTAATGTAGGGCTCTATTACAGTATTTGTTTCTGAAGTCTTATTATAAGACTTTCTAGTATGGTATTGTATTTCAATTTTGACACCTAAGAGGTGAAACTATAACATCTTGAGAGTGGAACACTTGCACAAAATTCCAAGGGCATAAGATGATGATAATAATAAAGTAAACTGCAAAAGGTTATCTGGTGGTTTACTTTATTATTATAAACACCTCGTATATGGTATGTGTATTCTTCGCTCTAAACCTCCAGAAATCTTGCGTGCAGACAATGAGTCGCAATAACCTGACTGCAGATTAGACATCCCAACACACAAATTTCTAAATGAAGAATTAACAGAGTTTCGGTCCATTCTGGACTATCTTTAGTTATCTGTTATGTTACACTAATTTGTTCTGAAAATCAATTATCAGTGTTTATCCAGATGGCCGAAGCTGCAGTGCCTATATATAAGGAGGGACAAGATAAAGGCAGAGAATAACATAAGGCGTCTTATTGGTAATACGTCTGGATGGAAATCTCGGTATCCTATTTTCCTTGTTCTATAAACCCCCTTTAAGGGTACTTCCTTGATGTGGTGAGGGGCACTTGTGCCATCCACGAGCAGATGGGTGGAAGCTTCTGTTTCACTCTCCTGCTTGCTGCAACAATAAGTGAATGTCGTAATAACAAGTGAAATCTGCACGTGTGGCTTCACCAACCGTGCGTTGGCTGTGCATGGAGGCATGTATGTTCCCCATTATTCCTGTATTTGGTGGTTGAGCTACCCAATGGCTGTGGCCCAAGTAGGGAGGGAGGGCAGGCAGGTTTGCAACCAGCAGGCACTGGGGTTAGTGTCCCTATCACAAACCTACAACCAACTGGGTTGTAGTGGATATGGGGGCCTGCAGGCTGCTCCAAGCAACAGCCTGTTGGACCAGGTTATTACAAGTTGAGTTGAGCCTGGCCCCAGGCTAGTCTTGGGGAGTAGAGCTCCCTAAACCCTCTCCAGGTATCAATCTGTGGGCTGCCTTCTCTCTCTAGGCAGACTGTTTGCTGGTGCTCTCTTCCTTGCCTCTTATGACCCATTCTTATTTACTAACTTTACCTATGCCCACCAATCCTCATTGGAATTTTCCCCTGAAACATAAGATGTCTCAAGATGCTAATGGTACACAGCAGCAAACCTGGGTAGGAGCAGCCAAGGAATCCAGTTCAAAAAGGATAGAGAATATCCTCCACCCAAGCTGACCCACCCCTCCCCTCCCCTCCCAGGGAAAGAGAAGCAGAAACCAAGAAAGGTTGTAGGGCAGCCAGGGATCAGCCTTCGGGCTCTTCTCCATTCCTGGAAGTTGGAAATGAAGAACCCAGGGCAGAGCCAAGTTCTGTGCCTGATGTCATAAAGATTGGATACATGTTGGATCTGTAAACTCTGAGAGAATTCAATACTCCACAGAGAAAATGATGGCTCGACTGTCTCTGGCGGCGACATGGAAGAGGCCATCACCAGAGAAGGCTGAGCTAAAGCATTTACAGCTAAGAGCAGCCCAGACTCCAAAACCCTAAAGATATCCAAGCTTGAGTTTGAGGATTTGCATATACAAGGGTTCTGTACAACAAAGTCGGATAGACAATAGGAGGAGAAGCTGTGAACAAAGCACCAGTAGAAATACCAGCCACTCTAACCCCTAAACCCCAAAGATCACAGCAGGTTAAATCCATGGCAACCATTAGCACCACAAAAATGGACAAAACACCTAGAAGTGGGCACTACCTGTGGAGCCTCATCACAACGAGCCAAAAGACAGAGGCTTGACCTATAACAAGAGGACCAGAGAACCTAAAGTTGCAATCCTCAGGAAAGAGGGGTAACTAGGACTCAAGAGGCAGGGAAGAGAGTACAGATGACCAGCAGTATGTAGTAAACCCCTACAGACTATCCCTCAAACTTGTAAATAGTGAATGCAAGCTTGGCGGATCGATCCATGACCTGCCCTGAGGACTCGCCAAAGACCTGCTGGATTTGCATTGGATTGGCCTAAAGGTTAGAGCGAAGCAGGATGCCTAAGCATTAGGACACCCAGGCACTAGGACACCCAGGCACTGTGCCTTGGGTGGAGGGACTAGGAATGCTCTTGAGGTTACCTTGAGGTTACCTTGAGGTGCTTCCGGGGCTTAACGTCCCCGCGGCCCGGTCGTTGACCAGGCCTCCTGGTTGCCGGACTGATCAACCAGGCTGTTGGACGCGGCTGCTCGCAGCCTGACGTATGAGTCACAGCCTGGTTGATCAGGTATCCTTTGGAGGTGCTTATCCAGTTCTCTCTTGAACACTGTGAGGGGTTGGCCAGTTATGCCCCTTATGTGTAGTGGAAGCGTATTGAACAGTCTCGGACCTCTGATGTTGATAGAGTTCTCTCTCAGAGTACCAGTTGCACCTCTGTTTTTCAACGGGGGTATTCTGCACATCCTGCCATGTTTTGCTCGGCAAAAGAATTGACCCGAAATGTGGTCTTCAGGAGAAACGCAGCTACGAAGTGCATCGGCTGCAAGCTGTATGAACAGGAATATAAACCCTACCTTGCGATGGTTTTGGGGCTTAGCGTCCTCGCAGCCCGGTCCATAAGAAGGTGGCCTCGGCCACCTTCCACCTGGTCGAGGCCTTTAGGAGATCCTTGTGCACTTCTCAAGCAATTATCCCCAAGAACACTTTGCAACCTCAGTGCCTTGCAGAGGAGTCAATAACTCTTGTACTACTTAGGGCGAGACATCTTACATAGAAGTCTGGCCTCAATGGGACAAACCTCTGAACCCACCAGGAAAGTCACAAAATCAGGGCAGGGTACAAGAGAAGTACCTACAGACAGGATGCCCTAAGCGCATGCAGCTCGAAGTGAACAGTTACCAGATTCCACACTACAAGTGAGGAGTGTAAACACATGCACATAAAGCAAACAATTAACTTTGAAACAACAAACAATTAACTTTGAAACAACAAACAATTAACTTTGAAACAACAAACAATGAACTTTGAAACAACAAACAATAATACACAAGCACATGGGCCCCACAGGAGAGTTCAAATGATGGCCAAGACGGATCGAGAAAAGCTTGAGACCCGCTAAAGCTGGTGACTCGGGAAGTATTTTTTTTTATTATTATTATTTTCTACCACAGACGTGGCCACATTAACAAAGCTAACCAGCATATAGAGTATACATTTTCTTCTGTCCTCCATGGACAGGGTTAGAGATTTGTTAAACATATAGTTCAGGGGTTTATTGAACACTCAACAACAGAATGTGATTGTAGTGCTTTTAAAATGCTAGGCTAAGCTACATATGCAAATACATAAATACACAGATTTATGTATGCCCTATATAAAGTGTTCGATGTGTCTTTTACATAGTGTCATTAATGTGCATTTACAAAGGTGAAATGTAATTCTGATCAGCTTCCACATATATTTTATACATATACACACACACACGTACACACACACATACGTATACATACATATATATATACACACACACACACACACACATGCATACACATACATTTCTCTCTCTTACTCTGACAGGGTGAGATAGCTGATAAACTGGTGTGCAATTAAGCACTTAATCACTGAAGGTGATTAAGGTGCTTTTACAAGCTCAGGTTATATAGTTACATCACATACATACATTGTATGATTGATACATTACATGGTCAGTCTAGGGTACAAGTCCAATATATCATCAAGTGTTCCAGTACTCATATAGTAGTACATGACCCCTCCTGGTCTGCCACTGACCCCTCCTGGTCTGCCACTGACCCCTCCTGGTCTGCCACTGACCCTCCTGGTCTGCCACTGACCCCTCCTGGTCTGCCACTGACCCCTCCTGGTCTGCCACTGACCCCTCCTGGTCTGCCACTGACCCCTCCTGGTCTGCCACTGACCCCTCCTGGTCTGCCACTGACCCCTCCTGGTCTGCCACTGACCCTCCTGGTCTGCCACTGACCCTCCTGGTCTGCCACTGACCCCTCCTGGTCTGCCACTGACCCCTCCTGGTCTGCCACTGACCCCTCCTGGTCTGCCACTGACCCTCCTGGTCTGCCACTGACCCTCCTGGTCTGCCACTGACCCTCCTGGTCTGCCACTGACCCTCCTGGTCTGCCACTGACCCCTCCTGGTCTGCCACTGACCCTCCTGGTCTGCCACTGACCCCTCCTGGTCTGCCACTGACCCCTCCTGGTCTGCCACTGACCCCTCCTGGTCTGCCACTGACCCCTCCTGGTCTGCCACTGACCCCTCCTGGTCTGCCACTGACCCCTCCTGGTCTGCCACTGACCCCTCCTGGTCTGCCACTGACCCCTCCTGGTCTGCCACTGACCCCTCCTGGTCTGCCACTGACCCCTCCTGGTCTGCCACTGACCCCTCCTGGTCTGCCAGTGACCCCTCCTGGTCTGCCAGTGACCCCTCCTGGTCTGCCAGTGACCCCTCCTGGTCTGCCAGTGACCCCTCCTGGTCCAGTGACCCTCCTGGTCTGCCACTGACCCCTCCTGGTCTGCCACTGACCCTCCTGGTCTGCCACTGACCCTCCTGGTCTGCCACTGACCCTCCTGGTCTGCCACTGACCCTCCTGGTCTGCCACTGACCCTCCTGGTCTGCCAGTGACCCCTCCTGGTCTGCCACTGACCCCTCCTGGTCTGCCACTGACCCTCCTGGTCTGCCACTGACCCCTCCTGGTCTGCCACTGACCCCTCCTGGTCTGCCACTGACCCCTCCTGGTCTGCCACTGACCCCTCCTGGTCTGCCACTGACCCCTCCTGGTCTGCCACTGACCCCTCC